AAGGAACATGAGTATCATCGCCTCTCGCATGCATGCATTATTGCATTATACCCAGCTAGAGACCATAAATGACCACATGGATGAAAACGTGATTGGTTCCGGCTACGACACTTTTCTCAGTCAGCTAATTAACAGGAACGACAATTTTGGCAGGATAAGTGAGAACCCTCTTCAAAATTAGAAGGATTCTTCGTAAGTTATCCTTCCTCTTGACGCAGAACGAGACGCTTACGGCTGTGTTAACTGGAAACCTAAGTTAACCAATGAAGAAAGGCTGGCTGCAGCTGCAACGAGAGACGCATTCATCGACGGTTCAAATCTGGCCGAGTTTATGTCGACAATTTTGTAGCTCCAAAGAGACTATTTTAGCTCCGAAACAGCTCCAGCTGTTCTGAGTGATTGGCCGATGCTGAAAAATGGTTCGGAAAATTTGTTTCACTTTGAAAAATTAACCAGGGTTTCCCTTAATGCGACTATCAAAGCCAAAATCATAGCGTTCAGTGGCCGCCTTATAAATTTTGCTACGAGCGAAGATTCCCAAAAAAGTCTTGCCATTTATAAAGAAATGCTAGGCACCAAGAACATTACAAGATGTTACGATGGATCATACCTTGGAGGTATTAAGGGGACCCGCTACCCTAAAATTTTCAGTTATGGCGTTTTCCGGTTTTTGTGCTCATCTTAAAGCTTACTTTTTGACGCATCCAACGGTACCAGAATCATCCCTCTACGTCGAAAAATGATTTACATATATAACTCTCACTTCTTCATTTACCCGCATGAATATTTAAGGATCACTAAGGTTTTGTAACTTATATTTAGAGAGCTGACAAATACATTTTTTTCTGCCATAACCAACGAATTCCTCTCTGCAGGAGCTGATTCTTCCATGAGGGTCATTGCAAGAGACCACACGACCTATGCTCTATGTTTTTGGTGAGATGTCTTACTTTGAATAGTTCAAATAATTTTTCTATTTTTATACATGGTTAATTGCAAGATATTCCGCAAAATTGTCGTATTTGTTCCCTCAAAATAAGTCGACCTATGAGAGAAATTAAGATTTGATAATTTCTGTAGTATTCCGTACTTTGAATTGAATTATTTACGATGATCTCATTTTCCTTCATCAAGGCCATCACCAGTGCAAGCTCGCAGAGCCGTGCTTGCTTTCAATCAGCAAGTCGTGTGCAAAGTGCCGTCCCTCCTTGACAGTCTGACGACGCTCTTCGCGTCCTACTACGTTTTCAACTATGCATACCCGCGTGCAGCCTGCGCTACTCGGGAATTCCTGCAGAGGTTCGTGATTCCTCTACATACCTTGACAGTTTATCACTTTACATTTACAGCTTCGCCTAAAAATGCAGGTCGAATATTTTCTTGACCCAATTTATGGTATGACCCAATATTATCATTTAGATTTTAAAGTAAATTTTACGATTTCTGATTTTTACCAAAATTTAATAAAATATTTAAAAACCCATCAAGCGTTTGGTTTCATCGCGCAGAAGTACTTCTCATGCATAGGTATGCTCATTAACTCTATTCGAACGTCGGTGCAGTGCCATGCCCGCACTTACCCTTTATGATGGGAGAGTTGTTGAAAGGGGCTGATGATTTACATTGAGGCTTCAGCTATTCCTTACATTGAGGCCTCAGCTATTCCTTACATTGAGGCCTCAGCTATTCCTTACATTGAGCCCTCAGCTATTCCTTACATTGAGGCCTCAGCTATTCATGCCCTAAAGTTGATTATTAGCCTTTATTTGCGACTGAGGTATCTATCAGCTATTATCACTATGGTGATTGTGGACTCATGTAAGTACTTTTTGCAGGTACTTTGCGGGCTTGAATCCGAAGCCCACTGCGCAAAGACGTCATAGCGCCGTGTATCCGAAGGTGCTGAAGTTTACAGCGGCTGTTTCCGACCACGAGTGGAGAGCTGGGATTGAAGACTGAAGATCCGTGTTCCACAGCTAATTTCACGCGCTGTATTCTTCTTGTATAATTCTATTCTTCTTGTAGAATTCGGCTTTACATAACCGCTTTCGAGGGATAATAAATGCACGCGATGTCAATTTTGTCTCTAAAACTTATATTTCGAGATATCTAACCTCTAATGTAGAATTTGGGTTGGGATTATCAGTGCAATGAAAATAAAGTTCAACAAAGTACGTGCATGCACCTTTATTCAGAGTTATGACAAAATTACTAGGATTCTGTTGCATGACAAATGAGTATCACACATCTGATTTAGCTTAAACTTGAGAAAAAGGGTGGTTGAGTGATTCTCAGCCGATTTATTTTAGGCATTCCACCATTTTCTTATCGGATTCTTCACCCTCGCTCGTCGAAAGACACGTTCTTATATAACGGAATTTTTCATGTGCGTCCAATCCAAAGCTGCCTATACATGACTGTGGTTCTCAGATGCGGCCAGGGCTAAGGTTTTATTTAGGGAGAACTACTTGCGTTCTATTTCTTGTTTCCTTTCATGATGGACGTTGGTCCTAAAACGACAACGCATTAGCTACTTGATTTCTTTTTGTCATATCGGTAATTTTTCTTTCCATGAAATACGCTTGTGATGATTGACCTTTATAATTTTGTTGTGATGTATTATACGACTCTAATTGCTGCTTAGCTAAGCAACCTGGAAGGCAACCTTCCAATATTCGCTAAGCAACCTTCCAATATTCTGGATTAAACTGTAGGAAACCGTATAAGTACAAGAACAAGCGTACCGTTTTCGTGCGGAAAACATTCCATCGTTTGATTTTACGGTAAGTAACTGGTTACTGTAACGCCACTGGGAACGTTTTTTACGGGTATTTTTCGAACAGTTTATATTAATACATGAACAGGCAAACCGTTTTCTCCCTGGAAACGTTCCCAGCGTTTAATTTAACGGTAAGTTACTGGCCACTGTAACGCCGGTGGGAACGTTTTTTCGGTGGTTTTTCTAACAGTGCAGTGTGTACGGAGAAACGATTCTTGAACCCGATTACTACCAGGTTCAAAAACATCCTCCGTCTTCCTTGCCCCGTCTTCCAGGGGGGTTATAAAAACTTGAGTTTACTTGCGGTTCAATTAAACTCAAATACGTTGCCACAATTCTGTGGCTTGGAACTCTTTTCCTTCCCCACTTCGAACTAAAGGAATTTTTCACTCTCCTCCTGTCACTAAGGCGCCGTCAGTAATATTGATCAATAATATTTCAATATAATTGTACTCACATCGATTTCCTGGATGTGTTCACATGTTTTTAAAACCAAAAGTTGCACATGGTTCGAAAAGCGTAAATAAAAATTCTAGTGAGTCTTCCTCTCACTTAAGTAGACAATATTTCGGTTTACTTCGACATCTTTCAGGAGAATAAAACCAATGTATTGCACACTGATTTAATGACTGCTTGTTGTTGAACCCGAAATTTAATGAATGACCTGCCACAAAGTAAAGCTGCAACAAAGTAGAGCTGCCACAATTTAAAGCTGCCACAAAATAAAGCTGCCACAAAGTGCCACAAAGTAGAGCTGCCAAAAAGTGCCATAAAGTAGAGCTGCCACAATGTATACCTGATTGCGAACACCGGGATTGAGAACTGAGATCCGGTAGACCCTGCATAACAGCCCAAAATTTAGCATATCCCTTAATACTCATTATATTGTTTATTACGCAGACCAAGAAGAGCTACGCTTGAAATGCAAGCTCAGAAAGCAAAGCAAATCGCAGTAAAGTAGCCATGCGTGCAGTACTGGAGACTTAGTTCTAACATGACCAATGTTCTGTTGTGATGTGATCGTGAAGTTATAGAAAAGTGAAGAGAAACTTATAATTATATTATTATAACCTATAGATTATTTTCAGGCACTACGTACAAAGAAAACGAGTCCATGTAAGTCAGGCTCAAACGTGGTGCTCATGAATACTTATTATAAATGATTACTCAGGAATCAGAAGCAGTGATGGGTAAGCTATGTAATTCCTGGCATTTCATCTATGTACCCTCATTAAAATAAATGCAGTGCTGCTACAAAGATAAACATCAACCTTCACACATCGAGATTCATGACCAAACAGAGATTATAGCTAACAGAAATTTTTCTAATGTTTATGTATAAAAAACAAATTCGCTAATTTGTTATTCTCATTTCTTGACGAAAGCGCATGTTTAGCATCTTCAAAAATCTAGTAGGGAACAACATAGGTTTGGCTTTAGTTTTTGTTTATCATGAGAAATGTCAATAATAATGTGAAGTTTTCTCACCGAAAATGATGTGTGTGCACATAAAAAGGGTCGACGTAAATACGAATTAATGTAAAATTAATAATAATGTAATATCACTCAAAATAGTCGCCGACTTTTGTTTTGGATGAAACACGGAACCATATTACAGAGATTTTTAGCTGGAAAAGTTACCGGAGCAAAGTAATAAACTAAAAAAATATTAAAAACACATGTCCAATACACACACATAATATGTAAAAGCATATTCACTGCTGACACAAACTCTGAATTTAGTGCCAATAGAGGCTAATAACGATTGGCGTATAATATGAAGAAAAATAAATGCAAATAGTCCACACAAAGAACACTATTTCCAGTCAATATTGTGACGTAATAGTTCTGACGAAATTTAATCACAGACAACTTTCCTCGAGTCAGTTCAGCCATGGTTGAGTAGTACTGTATTATAATGGCTAAAGTAGTTTGGCTGAAGTAGGATTAATTGCAGGATTATTGTTGTGTAATTAATTGTATTGATTGTGCTGATCATCCGCTGTTTTTTTACTGACTGACACTGACTGGCTGACACCGACTGATACTGAATTATGGTTAAACTAGTATAAGGTTGACCCATGAGAAGCTCATTTTTGCGGATATAATTAGTTGTTCGCTCCTGTGACGTCACTGACCTCAGTGACGTCACAGGCATTAACCAATCACCGAAATGCAATCAAACCAGTCAACCAATCGGTCATGGGAATAACGAGATTGTTTATGTTTCTTGATCTCAGTGACGTAACAAGAAAGCTGAACTCAGAGACGGAATTTCTCGTGGGTTAACCTTACATAATTCAACCATCAGTTCAACATAGTACGCTGATTACTGTAATGCACGGTACACGCACATGACTCCAGTGATGGGAGAGGTGTTACTGCAGTCGAAGTCGAAGTACACGAATTCAGGGCGGCCAAGTCCAATGCACAGATTGCTGCCGTAGGCAGGATTGTTAGGCCCCCACTCGAAGATGGCCGAGTTGGGCACCGGATCTCCGGAGCTCAAGGTTACGTACTTGCCGCTTGGGGCTCGTTTCATGTCTACGTAGAAGCGCTCCGTCTGCCGGATGGACAAACTTGCCCTGTCCTGAAATTGGTAAGAATTTAATTAGATTTACGTCATTTTTACTGTGAATGGGACCGCTCTAAATCGACGTCCATTCGTTCTAGAAAGCGAGTTGACTACTAAAACGGTTGACTCCCAAATATATCGCTTAAAGGTGCACAAAGTCGTGTAAGATACGCAAAGAAGCAGCTGTTACTGAAACCATGTGTCGTCTAACTGAATAACTGAATGTCGCTCATTCACGACGGTGAATGAGCGGGACGGAGTGGCGCTATTCAACAAAAAGGTGCATTTATCAGGTTGGTTTATGAGTTACGATTTCGCCGAAAAATTTTAAAGGACTCGACGTTTTGCACCGTCGAGTTGCAAAACGTCGACTTCCTTGGTTCTAATGAGCCAGAATTTATATTTATGTCTGCATATGGTTATACAGTTCGTTGGGATATATTACGGCATATTTTTATAGGCATTGAGGGTAAAATATCAGTTCATGAATTTCTTTATCCCAAATACAACCCGTTATTAAAAAAATTTCGTTAATCGTGTGAATCCATGGAATGGATATCCTCCGAGAAGACCCAGTTGAAGCCAGGCAGCCCTTTTACTATGCGCAGGTTTCTATACTTCGGAAACAGTTGTTGATTGATCCTTGATATTATTGTGAATAATGTCCATTTCCCGCGCATTTTTCAATTCTGGTTATTAGGTAGAGCATCCATGACTTCAAACACCCGAGACATCAGATTATTATTGGTACACAAAGCCTGACTTAGGGACTCACTTTCAAGGTGGCGGGGTATGGCAACAGATCCATGCCTTTGTTCTGACATTTGTTCAGTGCATCTCTGCAAATTAAATTTATTGTTAATAAATGGTACAAATTATTATTCTTAACCTTGAATAATGATTAATGGTCTTTGACCACCATCACGAGAAAAATTTCAAGATCCTTCCTAGCAATTGATTGACTCCTACCTGAGTAGAAGTTTATAATAAACTTCTATAGTTTATTATTATGTATAGAAGAAGTAGAAGTCTTATCTGAGTAGAAGCTGACGTCAAGTCAACCTTGACGTCAGCTTACGTGATAACATCGAACAAACAAGTATGCGTAGATAACTTTTTGCTTAAATTTTGTTTAGTGTCCTTCCTGAAATACCACAACGAAGCATCGCCAGACAGACAAGAAATTTTTTAAGTTAAAGGTCTTCGAGATTGAATCGTTTTAGTTAAATTTCGAGAAATTTTTAATTTATCACTTACCGTAATTGTTGAAGGTCTATGAAATGTATCCGCTTAAGTTATTTTGAAAGCCTATTTGAAATGTATCCACTTACCTTAGGTAATAAAGGTCTTTGAAATGTATCCTCTAACGTTTGATCTTGGTCTTTGAAATGTATCCACTTACCATAGATGTTGAAGGCCTTTGAAATGTATCCACTTACTATAGGTAATAAAGGTCTTTTAAATATATCCACATACCTTAGATGACGAAGGTCTTTGAAATGTATGCACTTAGATTTGATGTTGAAGGTCTTTGAAATTTATGCACTTACGTTTGATGTTGAAGGTCTGAAATGTATGCACTTACGTTTGGTGTTGAAAGTCCTAAAATGTATGCGCTTACGTTTGATGTTGAAGGTCTTTACAATGCATTTCTCTTCAGTTTGCCCATTTCTTCCTCGCTGAATCGTGTCAATTTGTTGATAAAATTAGTACGCAAGGACACAGGGCATCGTAATAATTTGTTCAAGAAATCAATGACTTTGTCAATGAGCCCAAGAAAGAGTCGCCGTTTAAGTGAAGACATGGCTACCATCATGTTGGGGATTCTGGCCCATTACGCATCCACGTAACTATATACCGGCGCCCCGCTCTCGATTGTTTGGTTGGGCATTCGATTACTCGATTTTTCGATTCGCTTTTTATGCAAACTGAACATACAGTGCATGTCTTTTGCTGCAAGGGGGGTTGAAGAATTACATTCTTAAGTATAAATGTGTAAAATGAAAGCTCTTGCGGAATAAAAAATGAACAAAAGACTCTATTTGCGTATTAATAGCCTTGTGTTATTAATTCACTCGATTAGTGGTAGCTAAAAAATCGTCCAAATATACTTACATTTTGCTCATATGTACAATTCTGTTGTAGCTTATATTAAAAAAGTCTACAATCAGCTGAACTCACGGGGGACCGACGGCCCCTGACGGAGGAGGTAATTCGTTCAGGATGTAGTTCGTCCTGTACGAGTTGAGTCTGAACACGCTCGGCAACGTGCGCTGCACGGCACCAGGCACTGAAAGGTGCACCACCAGGCGGCACTGCGGTAGCAATGGGGAAGCATTTGACGAGCACCATTTTGATTCGTGGTCGCAAAGATTCGTAATAAATGCAAAGAAGATTCGTGATAGTACTCTCGCTTTAAGCCTACAGAAAAAGTAACCTCTCAGAAGCCAGAGAATTTTACCAGGAAGGTATAACTTATCCTTGTCTGTGCCTCTGCTTCCGACATTCGTTTGTATATACGACTGCACTACAACCAGATTATCTGTGTTTTCTCTTCCTCTCCTCCATCTGTCCCCATGCCCTTCCCTCTCACGCCCGAAACCTACGGGCATATTCCCACAGGGCTAAGGAACTAACCCTTCTTCACGACCTCGTCTACCTTCATCCTCACAGTCATCTCCAGCCAGCATCAGCCCTCAAACCACCCCAACTAAGACAACCTGACCGCTCAAGACCTCAGACGCATAGAGTTTAACCACAGAAAATCGACCCAATACGATCCGCAATATTTCTAAACGTGACCCCAGTGCTCCATTTATTAGACTTGCCAACAAGTATGTTTTTTACAATTGGTATGTTGATGACACTTGCCCAATCTTCATGCATTCCTATCATGCAGGTTCAATTATCTCGGATCTTGTTAAGAATAAGCACCCAGTATGACCTTGTTAAGAAAACGTACCCTAGTATATCCTTGTTATTAAAACGTACCCCAGTATAAAACCTTTGAAGAATAACATTGTCAATCCTCCCTTCCAAGAATGGCTCATAACGTAATTCAAGAAGTTATTCTTCCCCTTCTGAACAAGAATTCAGCTAGAGTAATACCTAATTACCTAATTAGGTAGTATTTTAGGTTATTAGGTAATTACACAATTAATACCTACCTAATTTGTTTGTATCATTCATTCCATTAAGCTTGTTACGAATACGCACCCCAGTAACATCTGGGGTGCTTATTCTTAACAAGATCCATTATCTCAAATTGAGACACTCATCGACGAAATTTACTGTGGTGAAATCGATGACATTTACTATGATTGAAACCAACAATAGTTTGTCATTTCCCGATTGTAAAGTAACTAAATCTGACGGTCGCTTTCTGACTTCTGTGGATCACAAATCGATTTTTACCTGATTGTGCTCGAGCTTCATGAAGAAAATTACTCACTGTCGTCCAGCAGTTCCAATTTGCGCCTCTAAATGGCCGCAAGTTTAGAGCGTACGTTGATAAACTTATTCTGTCAACAGCTAGAAAAATTATCTCAAATTACTCACTGAAGTAGAGTTCCATTTGAATCCTCCACAGGCATAGTGTTGATGGCAACGAGCCGCACACGCCACCTGCGACGCCACACCCGCCCCATCTTGCACAATCCAGATTGGAAAAGTCAAGTTGGTTACCAGTCCGTAGAGGATCAGTTCGCCGACGGCCATCCTGAACTTCTCCGTACACTGGACCCAGCTGTTCGTCTCAAGATGTATCTGGAACCTATATTAAAACACAACAAATTTTTGGTTCATTTACACCGATATAAATTTAATTACTTGATATTAGTACCTGGCATAAAGTTGAATGAAATGGAACTAATTACACACGTCTTGGTTTGAAGAAATATTCTCAATATAAGGTTAGTACATCGTTTCATCAGGTTAGTACATCAATTTACATCAAGGTTAGTGCGAAAGTACATCGTTTTGCCTCGAACGCGAAGCAAAATTGGGTCGGTAGTAATTTCCGGGCTACTTGCCTCGTGTAGTGGGACACTCATCGCTTCATCAGCGAGTAGCGAACAGCGGCAAATAAGGACAAACATTTCTGTTTTCACAACAGAAACGCATATAAACATATATCTTTGTTTCATGGCGCCGGTGAGGGGCGAGTAGCTGCATGGGCACGTGAACAACGGTGGGCTTACTTAGCCGAGAATGAAGGTCACTAAAAAATATTATTAAGTAACAGTTTGCACATAACCAAGTTTGTGTTAATTTTTATGACTGACCAATTAAGTATTTGATAAGTTTTGAATTTTGGTGAATCTTTTTTTGCCTCGACGTTCTTTGGGAAAACATTCATCATAGACGGTTGTACAAGTTTTTACTTCTTTCTAAATATTACTTACTACATATTGTGATGGAAAATTCTATTGTGAATGTGGCTACATATTTGTGATTGAAAATTCAATTGTGAACGTGAAAGACTTCACATTCAGCAGAATTTATTAGTAATGAGTTTCTAACTTCTACTGTCATCTGACTATAATACTGTCAACTGATAACACTCGTTTTGAAGCTAGTTTTTTCGATCCAGTAGTGATCTTCGGTAATGAAATTAGGGTGTATGCTATGCGAAATAATATTGACGGAGCCTAAAATTACCCGTAAACTTATTTTTGCAATCTCTAAAGACACTCGATCAGGCAGCGGCAGATGAGAAAATAGCGACAGCTAATACCTGCCTCGTTCCTAAACTTACTTGCCTTTTAAACGATGAGTGGCTGGTTGTGTCCGTTAATACTAGCTGCCACAACCTGACCAGATGCTGTCAGTAGATGTAGGATTCAGATTATCTGTAAATAAATGCAAATAAAACATTTACGTTGATAATATTTCTAAGATTGACAGTTGATAAAATGGGAATAAAACCTAAGTATGCTTGAGAAGAAAGGTTGAGCCATAATTTCAAAAATCAAAAATAAAGGTAGAGCCATAGGCTCTACCTTAGTACCATAGAAAGGTAGAGCCAACATTTATGGTGGTAGCATTGGGGTTATCTCATAATAACCAGCACGTTTTTTATTCTTTCCGATCGTAATTTCATACGAAAATGAAGAATTTTTTCAATGATATATATCGCTTGGGTCATATACAGAAGCAATATTCTCGAAATATTCAATTGCTCTGTTTTCTTTTTCGTATTATAGGATAATTTTCAATATAATTATCACCATTACTAATAGTTTTCGTAAGAAAACCATTGATTTTAAATTTCTTATTTCCTCTAACGAATTCGTTCTTCGACAACTTATGTATTAAAGTTGATGGGTTGACATGGTATAAAGAAAATATATGGTAAAATCAAAAAGGTCTCCGCAAACAACTTCAGTAGTAACGATGTTTTTTCACAGTTCGATTTCCTAATTACGAGATACCTCAAATTTGCAGATGGAAATGCAAAATGATTCCTCTGTTTGTTTTCTTTATCGTCCCTCGCCTTTAGCAGCATTTAAAAAGAAATTTATTCTGCAATTACTTTCCAATGTTTCGTTTTAAAATATTTACTTGAATTATTAGCTGATTCATTTCAATGGAGAGATGGTGAATATCATGATAGATTTTATTAAGAATTATTATTTCATGAATATAATAAGGTTGCCCATCTGTTATTAGGTCTTCATTGTTGTAAGAAATTTTATCACGCATGTATTTTCTTCACAAGACGCCTCGATACAAGAATTAATAATTGATACAAATTTTTGCATTGTGCATTAATCAGTTGTCACACATATTTAGCATTCAACAACTGCAATAATTACGTCACTAATATATGACTTTTATCATCGTCGCCAAACAGTGTAATCTTACTTATCTCTTTTGTATACAATTCATGGCTATTACTTTGGATATTATACATTGTTTTATATATAGTCCCCTTATTCAATGCTCTTTCAAAATTCAATATTCGGCCATGGCTGTTTTCCTTTCAATGACATTTCTCTTTATATTCTCATGATATTGGCAAACCGGTAGTTTAATCTTTCATTTTACTTTTTTGGTTTTCAGCTGAATATAGGAAATGATCTTTTGATAATTCAATGTGTCAAACAAGTCTCGATTATTTCTAGTATCTTGAAAGTAATTAGATACGAAAAAATTATTTTAATTATATGTGGCTTGCAAGTATCTCCTTACCAATTGAGAAAAATGATGCTGCAAATAAAAATTATGTGGACGAAAAAGTTGTATTTGTTTCAGGTTTTAATGGATATAGAGCTTTTAGAGAGCATGATATTTTCCGTAGTACTGTCCCTATCAAAATTTGGATGCCTGTCAGCCGCTGGCTCAGGGTCGCCCCAAATTCTTTTTGCGGTGTAAATTAGAAGCTCTATGTCCGCTTTAGGTTCCGGTTGCCGGAGCGAAATTAGCGCCGAAAGAGAATCTTACTTATCTCTTTTGTATACAATTCATGGCTATTACTTTAGATATTATACATTGTTTTATATATAGTCTCCTTATTCAATGCTCTTTCAAAATTCAATATTCGGCCATGGCTGTTTTCCTTTCAATGACATTTCTCCTTTTCTTTTCATGACATTGGCAAACCTCTAGTTTCATCTTTCATTTTACTTTTTTAGTTTTCAGCTGAATATAGGAAATGATCTTTTGATAATTCAGTGTGTCAAACAAGTCTCGGTTATTTCTTATATCATTAAAAAAATTATTTGAATAATTTATGACCTGCAAATATCTCCTACCCAATCGAGAAAAATTATGCTGCAGTTAAAAATTATGTGAATTAAAAAGTTGTATTTGTTTCAGGTGTTAAGGGATAGAGCTTGTAGAGAGCATGATATTTTCCGTAGTACTGTATAGTAGTATTTTGTATAGTAGCATAGACAAAAGCCAAAGAAAGAAACAAGTCTGACGATGTACTGAGGAAAAAAGCAGCTGAAAAGGCGTTAGATCCTACCCAGTCAGAAATCGCCGCAGTCTGGAAGCCAGCCGCGGGTGAACTTTCCTGTGCCAACGCTCGCCCCAGCGCAACGCCAGGGTGGTCAACAGCGCAGGAATGTCCACAGCAGCGCAATATTGTGGCAGCGCTTCTCGGCCTGGCTAGGGCCNCAAGAAGAGTGAAAGTAAGTAAGATCGATGATGGCACACAAATTTAGTTGATATGTAGAAGTATTCAGATCAAGTTATAAAACAACATTCTAACTGTGATTGAAATCTTCAGTAAACATGCATGGGCAGTTCCTAAACTTGAAAAGCCTAGATTACATATTAAAAATTCCTTCCAGTAGTTTTTTACTGAACGAATACCCTATAAAATTCAAACAGATAAAACATTTGAAATGGATTGCTCAACCAACGCAAGAGTTGTTCAAAAAGTTGTAAGTTAAATGATCTGCTTTTGAAAATCAAACTAAAGCTGAAATTGTTGAGAGATTTAAGTGAACACTTCTAATCCAGTTTACTTCATGGCGAAAAAGTGTGTAGATATTTTACAAGATTTAGTTGAAAATTTTAATAATAGTTATCATTGATCAATAAAAAGTAACTCTTCGTGAAGCTTACTTAGAGCAGAACAGAAAAATAGCCTGTGTGAATTTATTCCTCGATATACAAAAGGTTGTAAGAAAGCCGAAGTTCGAGATAAGAAATCGTGTCATAATTAGTAAAAACGTATAGGAATTTAGTAAAAGATATGATCCTAATTTCTCCCGCGATTTATTTGTCATTTCTAAACTATTAGATAAGAAGCCAGTAACACATAAATTAAATAAAATACATGAATGGTGAAGAAGTAATATGTAGTTTTTACGAATAAGAATTATCCGAAAATATGACAGTAATGTTAATAAAATTTATACTTTTAAAAAGAATAAAGGCAAATTGTTAATCAAATGGAACATATTTGATGATCTATCTTAGATCCTGGAAGTTGAACAAACATTAAGTTGATTAAAAAGTTTTCTCCGCATATATATTATTTTTGCTATATAAAATGAGAGTTTATCAATCATCTAATATTGATAATGCGAAAAAAACACTAAATGTGAAATCCCTTTGAACAAATTTTTACATTTACTGAAAATCGTCAAGGACAAATGGCTTTGATACTTTAAACGTTGAAAAAATTTTAATAACCGGAGACTTGAAAATATCTCCTATCCAATTAAGATAAAATGATGTTACATTTAAAAAAATGCGGACGAAAAATTTGTATACGTTTCAGGTGTTCAATTAAAGGATTCGGAAATGATCGATAAAGTGTTGTCTCACATTGTAAGCAACGGTGTTATAGTGCGTATAAACTTCCGAGAGAAATAAATGCCTGATGGAAAATCAAAAGTGGAAAATGTAGATAAATAATATACGTTTAAAAATTACTTTTTAAAGACAACACTTCTAACGAATCCAGTGTTTCCAATGTTACAGATGTACAATGAAATTCTAATTTTATTTTCGAATATTAAAAAAAATTATTTTTCAATTTTTTTAATACATAAAATTATTTTCAAAATTATTTATTCTGTCACTTGATTCATGCATTGTCTCCGACTTTACGCAAGTCTACAAAATTTCAGATAGATTGGACAGCTAGAATAAAGTGTGTTAAATATCGATTATAAGATTTGTAGCAGACAAAATTATTTTTTCAAATTATTTTAATATTGAAAAAAAATTGTTTTTATTCTTAAAATTATTCATTTTCTCATTTGATTCATGCATTGTCTCCAACTTTATGCAAGTGTGCGAAATTTGAGATCGATAGGATAAGTAGAAGTGTGTTAAATTTCGATTACAAGATTTGTAGCAGACAGACAGACAGACAAACAAACAGACAAACAAGAAGTGAAGTTAGAGAAAAGTTTTGTAAAAAGTAACTCTGAAAATGCCAGAAGTAAAAAATGAATTGCAGAATCTAGATAAAAATTAACTCAAAAAATGACTGAAGTAAGATGAAAATTGCGAAAACATATGAATAATTTTAAATCTCTTGACCAAAAAGTATCATCATCATCATAAGAACAGATTCAAATTGACTTAGAGGCATTTATTGATGTAGTTGAAATAAGGCTTGATGTCAACATGAATGGAGTAGCAAAAGTGTCATGAATGCAAAACGAGTTCTCTGAACGACTCAAAACAATTGAGATCATAATGAAAATTAAACCATTTACTGATTTTCAGCAAAATAAGAAAAATGAATCTAAGATTAGAAATTAATCCAGCTTATGCATTTAAAAGATTTTATATAAAAAATATAGTTGCAAGATATATAGAGCAACGGGTTAACATTCGCTTATGTTTCTGCCCCGGAAACTATTTTAAAAATATAAATTAATTAGAGAAGGATAAGTAGTATCTTAGGTGAACTATACTCGGGCTAATTTAAGCTGCTATCGATTCAATTAAGGTTATGAGATCGGGGTTTTGACTATGGGTATCGGTATAGACATGGGTTTGGGTATGACGTCTGTCAGGGGCCATATTATCGAAAATAGTTATTGTACATAACTTTGTCAGCCAATCGCTGACGGCGCTTCACGCTAAAACCACAAATAACAGACTAGAAATCGACCGCTACGTGTACTTAAGCCGCTATGTGTACTAAGGCCGTAACGTGTACTTGAGCGAGTTTTGATAGCACGTCCTCTGGTCCCGTAGGTCAGGATTGAGATGGGATCTAAGCTCAATTTCACAATTTTGCAACATAATTTATTGACTTCAAACTCATTCTGGATATAAATCCCAATATATGTAACCTCTCGAAACCTTGAAGTAATTACCGTTCCCTAGCGTCAACGCGGAAATCAAAATATTCATTTCATTTATCAAATGAATATTTCATATTTAACTTCACATATCTCTCACAGCATTTATCAGCTCATTATTACAACATTTTTACGACACTTCTCTTTAACTTCACTTCTTGTTGTTCCTGTCTATATGCTACAAATCTTATAATCGAAGTTTGACACACTTCTACTTATGAAATTTTACTACTGAAATTTTGCACACTTGCGTAAAGTTGGAGACAATGCATGAATCAAATAACAAAATAAATGATTTTAAAAACTTTTTTTTTCAATGTTAAAAAATTTGAAAAAAAAAATACTTTGTCAGCTACAAATCGTATAACTGATATTTGACACACTTTTACCAGTCCAATTGATCTGAAATTTTGCACACGTGTGTGAAGTCGGAAGCAATGCATGAATCAATTAACAGAATAAATAAATTTGAAAAAAAATTATATACTGAAAAAATCTAAAAATTAATTTTTTCATTATTCGAAAATAAGATTAGAAATTCATTGTACATCTGTAACATTGGATACACTGGATTCTTTAGAAGTGTTGTCTTTAAAAATTAACTTTTAAACGTATATTATTTTGAAAATTCAGTCAAATTGAATAATTAGGCTAAAAATGGTTAAACAGCGCATCGTTGCAACTCTGCCTAGTTATTACGGCTTGCTTCCTCAGACAACGTAAGAAATTGAGTCAGGCCACGAATGACCATCGCACTCACCAGGCCCTCTCAGCGAGCACGAACTGCCTGTGGACGACCTGACCAGCTGCTGCTTGACGTGTGCCTCACCAACGCCTCAACCCGGCCTCGACGACTGCTGACTGACGTGTGCCTCACCAGCGCCTCAACCCGGCCTCGACGACTGCCGAAGTTGCATTGCTGTTGCATTGTGCATTGTATTGTGTGTGTTGCATTGTATTGTTGAATTCAGACGTTTTCATGGGTTTCTTTGTGTTGCATTGCCGTGGCATTGTTCAGGGTCAATGAACTACGGCACTATTTTCTGTTATTTCTGATATATTAACAATATTACGAAAAATTATTTATGCAAAGCTGGATATCGACAAAAATTACATGTCACATTAAATATGCTCGTTGATTTTGTGAATTTAATTACATATATAGTTTTGGTGTGAAATTTAGGGTCATTATGAAGCGTTTCGTGTGAGCCCGCGTGTTTTTTGGAATCTTGACAATGTTAAAGCATGCATGAATGATAAAATTAAATCGAATGGGTGAATGAGAGAACTAAATTACAATTATGAATGAGGAAACGGCGTCGCATGCATAGATGAAAGTATAAATCGCTTGTGTGAATGAGAGAACGAAGTCTCGTAAATAAAAGTCAGGTAATCTGGTATGTATGATGTAGAGAACAACATCGTATGTATATATGTTAAAGACTTCAAATTCCCGACTTAGAATAAATATCGTTAATGTAAACTAATTATATTAACAATTATAATAAATGATTAAAATTATTTATAATATATATGAATCGACACCAAAGTTAGATATATAGAGAAGCGTTTTCGATAACGAAAAATTAATCATTGAAACAATATATTGAACATTCATCATTGTAAAATAAAACAGGTTGCTTAGGATTAAAGAATTGAAGAAATGAAAAAATCGAGTTTTACAAATAACTTGCAACTTTGACCTGGGCGAGGGCATCTTTTATTCACTAGTAAGAAGTGAACAAGTTCTCGAACACGCTGCTAAATGGCAATTACAGCTGGCGAGTGTTGAGATAATGTGCACATCGCGTGTCATGACACTGCGACGTCGTAAGACATAAGACCGTAAGACGTTAACCTTCTACCGTCGTATTTTACTCTCCGGAAACATAACTTTAAAGTTAATCCTCTACCGCCGTATGTTACTTTCCGGGAACATAACTTTAAAGTTAACTTTCTACCGCCATATGTTACTCTCCGGGAACATAACTTTAAAGGTAACACTCTACCGCCGTATTTTACTCTCCGGGAATATAACTTTCATTTTAAATTATACGTAAGCTATTGAGTGTAGCAACCTGAGAACGTTTTTACGCAACAGAGAAGAGAGAACATTTCAAAATTGTCGTACGCGGCGGCAACCATCAGTGCAAGTCATTTTGCGCTCACTATAGGCAACGTATCCTTTTTGGGGAGTGGGCTTGTCACAATTTTGCTCCGGTTACTTCTGTCATGCGGTAGAGGGTTAAGACCGTAAGACATTTAGCCATATGGCATTGAGCCGTTAGACATTAGCCCGTGAGACGTTAAGTCATAAGACATTTAGCCATATGACATTTAACCGTACGACATTGAACCGTAAGACATTAGCCCAAAAGACGTTAAGCCGTAAGACATTTAGTCGTGAAATATTAAACAGTAAGTCAACAAGCTGTAAGTCATTAGCGTTGTGCAGCGATAAAGTTTCCCAACTGTATTGCTGCACTAGCTCCAGATGATTGCTACTTCTTTAATCTTAACTTTATACCATGGGAGTTTAAAAACTAACGAGGGCTGCCTTGCTGAAGTGGCGTGTTCTAGGTAGGAGGAATAATTAATGAGCTGAAATTATATGAGGTCAATGTGCCTCAGTGGGTTGATAATATATGATCAAGATGCCTTAGTGGGTTGATAATATATGCTCAAGGTGACTTAGTGGGTTGATACTATATGATCAAGGTGCCTTAGTGGGTTGATAATATATGCTCAAGGTGACTTAGTGGGTTGTTAATATATGCTCAAGGTGCCTTAGTGGGTTGATAATATATGCTCAAGGTGACTTAGTGGGTTGATAATATATGATCAAGGTGCCTTAGTGGGTTGATAATATATGCTATTGTAACAGTCAGGAGTAGACCCAGCAGCCAGAGCCAGGTAGATGTGTGCATGTGGAAGAGTTCAACGTCCGAGAAATGCTGACGCTTCATTAATCGGGAGGAAAAATAAGCTCGTTCTTTTTTCAAGACGATAACGTCGTTGAGAACGATGGTTGCAACGATGCCAATACCTTGCATTGAGTCGCTTATTTACTTAGGTAAATGTACTGTGTATACCGTTACATTGCAACTTTTTGTTGCGGTAATTGCATTACTATTAAGTGTGCTTTTCTTTGCTAGATAAAACTATGTGCAAGATTTACTTGAAAATTAAAGATATCGATTAAATCACCAAGGCTGTAAGCAGTTATTCACACAAATTCACGTTCGTGAAGCAGAAGTTCTAGTGTGAAGGTGTCAAGTCGTCTTATATACAGTGAATGTAATGTACGAGTCACGCATTTGGCTGTGTTCACGTCATGCTACTGATTATTTGCATGTTTGTATACAGCTTATACGCAATAACATAACATAACATAGTGATCTCGGCGCTGAAGTGAAGGCCTGATGTGGCCTGTCGCCGATTCTTTTACTTTTCGTGCCTTGTTCATAGAAGATCTAAAATCGTGTCATTTGATCGGATCTTTTCATGACTGACGATAGTTTTAAGTAGCTATACTAGACTTCCACCGAGTTCGAACAATATAGTTAGAAACACGCAAGTATGTATACTTATAGTTTGTATACGCAATTTGCTTACTTAACTTCTAGCTTCCCGCTTCGTTCGATCTTTCCACGGATTTCACACTTGATTGCCTCCCGCGGAGTTCGGCGATACTTCAGTTATTACATCACTTCTCTTTAACTTCACTTCTTGTTTGTCTGTCTGTCTGCTACAAATCTTATAATAAATATTTAACACACTTCTACCTGTCCAATCGATCTGAACGTGGCACTGGCACGGTTCAGTGAGCCGCAAGACGTGACCGAGGACGGTTGTATGTCACGCGCTGCCGTGTGAGTGTTACTTTGTGCTACAACTTCGCGTATCTTGTTCTCCTGAGCTATAATGCCCATTAGTGTTCATATAGGGAGCCGTAATGGCTGTTTCTTTGTTTTATTTGTTTCAATCTGGTGTCACGTTTCGCTCAGTTATAGAAACAAACAAATCAGTGCCACGTTTCGTTTCGAAGTTTACACAGACGAAGCAATGACCTTGGCGATAGTGCTTCCTCTGATGGCAGTACATCTGAGGCTGCTGCTGTAGTTGCTGGTGTTACATCTGCAGTCTTTCATGCACTTTTTGGTCATTTGTTGAGTGGCAATTCCTGTATGTACACTTCATGAATCACGGCTCATTTTTAGCGCAGGCTATGTCACTTGCAGGTATCGTCAAACGTGACTTTTAAACAGGCAGAGAATTTTCTCAATCAGGCAGTGAAAATTTCACCCGCATACGAGCTGTGAAAAGTTCTTTTTCAATCATGAAGTGAAAACTTCACCCGAAATTAGGCAGTAAAAATTTCCACATCCATCAGACTGTTAAAAATTTAATAGCTATCTGAAAGTGAAAAATTCTCTGGCGGTCGGATAAAGAAAAATTATCAATCAGACAGCAAAAATTCCACCTGAAGAATATAGGCAGTGAAAATTTAATCGACGTCACAGTTGAAAATGCTCGCGACTAGGCTGTGAAACTTTCACTCACGCTCACCGATGCGGTGAAAATTTCACTCTCAGTCATGCAGTGAAAATTTAATTTTTTTTCAATGCGGCAGGGCATTGAAATTCTACTCCCTATCGGGCAATCTAATTCTACACTCAACTTGCCGAGAATTTCTAACTTTCACAAAATTGCCGCGTATCGTTGCGACCTTGAGTTTCAAAACTATATACTTTTTACGGTTAAATTAAAAGAAAGTAAAGATAAATTAACTTCATTGCATTGCATGCATTTTCACTCAGCCTTGACAAACAACGACGTCAGTAACTCTGGAGTGAACTTCATGCTAAAGATAAAATATTGAAACTTTTAAATAGATCGTCATTTTCTGGAATGTCTCCAAGTATTTTTGAAACTTTTAAATAGATCGTCATTTTCTGGAATGTCTCCAAGTATTTATTGTTAAATTAATGGATTGTTTGGATGTACCTCTTAGCATAGATGCAGCGAAAACATTTCAGGACTGTGAGAAAAANCGGATGCGCAGTGGTTAAACAGGCTGCTGTTGAAGAATGGCTGACGGATGCGCAGTGGTTAAGCAGGCTCCTGTTGAAGAATGGCTGACGGATGCGCAGTGGTTAAACAGACTCCTGTTGAAGAATGGCTGACCGATTTGAACGTGGTTTTATAAGCTCCTTTTGGGGAAAGCTGGATGGTTTGCACATGGTTTTTTTAAACACCTTTGGCATAATTGTTTAATGATTGCCACTAATTTAAATAGCTTTAAATAACTGGTCTTAACGTCACTGATAGTTTTCGAAGAGGTATAGAAATAACTGGATATTTTTGTCCCCTAGGAATTACGAGGGCTCATTTATGGCAGATTTTCTTAATTGCGAGAAAAGTAAAGTATTATAGTTGGAACCTTATTTTAGAAATTTCATGCTCTGAAGTAGCCACAGGAGCCTTTCACATTTTTATACGAGAAAGTTAGACCACTAAAATGAAGGTATTTGTTTATTGAAGAACCGAAGGACTATTTAGGGTTCATACATTAAGCCAGGGCCGCATTGAACCAGTCTTCAGAGGCTCCCATAAATTCCAATTAAAGAAAATACATTAAGCCTGACATGGGAGCCCAAATTTCAAAAATCTTTTATAAGAAAAGATTGGAGGCAAAACTAAGATCGATTCCTGATGGTAAATTAATTATATTTTTTCTTCGTTGATTTCCATTAATTTATCCTTGGATGCTTAAACTTTTGTTCTTCTCCCAGTGGTGGTCAAGGTTATTTGTTTTTAGGAGACCTAGCCTGAGATCCTCAGAAATATAGGCTTATTTACCGAATTTGTTTCAGTCTCACGCTCCGACGACATTGATCAAATATTAAACTTGGCGGGAGATTTCATGCGTTTAACCTTAAGGCCGAGTTCACACCATACTGCACTTGTAAGGCATCTGGCAGTCACGGTCCATGGCCAATATTATTTAATTTATCTCCATTGAAGCATTCACAGACAAGGGAATGGAAGGTGCCTTGTCCGGCTGGTGTGAATGCTTTTATGGAAATGCATTAAAGAATATTGGACTTGACCGTGACTGGCACGTGGACGGCAATAAGGTGTGAACCAAACCTAACCTGACTCATCTTCCATACACAGAGATCATTCGTAAGATGTCTTCCTCGGCGGCTTCCTCTGCTGTGACCCATGCGCAATACTACGAGGAAATGAAGACAGTCACAGACAATGTCAATGGGTTTTTTAAGCTCATCCCCAAATACCTCCAAAAACTTTTGAACTTTGAATGCGAAGATAAAGTTGCTACCCAGACGTACAGAGCATACATGGAAAAATACCGTGACGAGCCCTTCAAAGGTGTTGAATGGAAGAGATGTCGTGGAAAATCTAAAAAAATCGATACAGCCACGTCCCCTGATGGCTTGGACATAATAGCGCTGTACGCACTCTTTGAGGGCATATATGCTGCTAAAAATGACGTGAGGGACAAGACAAAAATGCTCGAAAAATTGCGAGCGGTCAAGGAGCCGCGGAATAATGCCTGTCATGAGGAGCCAGATATGTACAATTCAAATACGTTTGAAGAAATGAAACAAGAAATGTTCGCTCTGCTAGATGAAGCCAAGCAGTTTTATGACAAATACAAGAGTGACATCGACTCCATGAAACTTGAATTGGATCGCGATATAAAAACCGGCTTTTCCCCTGGCGCGACAGTTCAGAGTTTCAACTGCCACCGCATTCTCACTAAAGGAAAAGACATCGCAATTGCACGCTTCCAAAAGTACAAAGAAGAAGCTCTTCATTTTGAGGATGGTACCGTAACTACCGTTAAAAGGCCGGAAGTATTTCATCCAATTAAGGTGATGTTGCAAGACAGGAGACTTCCATTCCAAGACTTGTTCCAGTCTTCATCTTCAACCGAACAAATCGTGCTCATTTCAGGTGAAGCGGGGGCTGGAAAAACGACTCTCCTCATGAATATAATCCTTCATTTCACTGGAGACGAAGACTATCTAAAGAGCTTTGAAATCCTCGTCTACATTGACAGCGACACCAAAAGTTTGCATCAAGTGGCCAACGGACACTTTGGTGACGTCTGCACAGAACTAGGCTCAGATGAAGCAGTTTTAGAGGCTCTCTCTCAGCTCCATGTTCTGTTTCTGGTCGATGGATTTGATGAACTGAACATAAAATCGACGACAGTTTTATATGAACTGTTGCAGAAGAACTGGCACCCGAACTCCCGCATCCTGATTACGACTCGTCCCCAGGATAGCGGAGAACTGAAGAAGTTCCTCAGCAAACCTCACGTCCACAAGTTCTCGGCTTACAAGATGGCGCCCTTCTCCGAGCTGTCAGAGCAGCTGAAATTTATAGAGCGGTATGCACAAAGTCTTGCCGATGACCCTGCGTCTCCACTAGCGATGCGGAAACGATTTGAAGAATTTGACGCGAAATTACAAAAATCCTTTACAGAGCCAATATCTTTGGTTCACTTCTGCATCATTTTTAAAAAAAGCCCAGAAAAGATTAACCAATGGGGAAGTATCATCGACGTTTCCAGGGACAGACTGGAATTAATAAAGACCTACATCGAAGACAAGCTTATTAAAGTCACTCCCAACAACAATGCTGATCTTATGAAAGGACTCTTCTTGATTTTTTGTCAGTGGGCGCTGAAATTTCTCGTCCAAAACAAGATCACTTTCACTGCCGACGATCGCAATGAGTTACGGGAAACTTGCTGCAGGAAGATCGAACAATACGGCGCCCTACATGTAGTCGATGCAAAGACGATCCTCAACGTCATGCTGAAAGTGAGGCCATCGATGTCTGGGCACGCCAACGAAACCTACTCCTTCTCCCATAAATCTCTCCAGGAGATATTAGCAGCGCACTTTATCTTCCATAAAATGAAGAAAAGTGCCGAACCTGTTCTCGAAAGCGTTGGAGTAACGGCGGAGACATGCAAAAGGTGAGCCTGCTACTTGAGCTATCAGCTCTATCGGGAAAATAAGCATGATAATGTCGTTCAGTGTTACTTTATAACAGGAAAACACCATGAACATTTTCTGTGTTACTGTATATCCTTTACAATGAAACATGAAAATAGATAAGATGAAATCCTCCGAGTATACATGCGTACAGTAATCTGGCTTAGACCATGATAACCTGACGATAAATTGAGCAAATAAAGAACTGCTTTCAATATTAGATTGTAGTTTAATATTAGATTGTAGTTCTCTCAACCCATTAAGCATAAATAGTTTGGCTGCTCAACTATTGCTTCTCTCGATAAACGACTTACATTGCCAAGGAAATTCGAAAAAAGGTTAATGACAGTTGATGTTACATCTGAATTTTGATTTGCTTTGTGACTTTCACAGCAGAAAACAGAAGAATTCACAGCAGAAAAACAGAAGTTGACACAGTTAGGATCGTACATCCCCAGCGAAAACTTTTCTCTTACGCATGCCGCTGACACGTGGCGGTTCTGTCATCGGGTGTCGCTATTGCGTCAGCTCATTTGTCAGCCTCTTGCCACGCTACCCCACTGCGTTGGCAGTAGCTTGCCAGTCACCTTAACATTAAGGTCACCCTAAAATCCTGGTCACACCCTAGCATCCAGGTCCCCTAACTTCTCAGTCAACCTAATAGCCAGGTCATCCTAACACCCCCTGTAGTGGTTGCCGCTTACTCCAGACCTCATCATTACACGACACACGAATAACATTGCGTGCTGCGTAACGGGCACAATTCAGACGTTTTTGACATGATATCGCCAGTGATGTTTATTCAAGGTCGCTTGATGGCTATGAGTTAACGAAATTTATTACTGTATTCTACAAAATGATTAATTTACACATGATTTGAACTTATAACCTCGTGCTCATTTAAACCATATTATTCCCATGTAGCACGAGTGCACTGCTGCTTGTACGACGCACTGACCTGAGAACAGACAAGCTGCAAACCAAGATTTGTCGTCGCAAAGGTCGCATGAAGGATACAGACTACGACGTGAGGCTGTAGACAGGCGCGATACAGACTAATTAGTAGTTCAACAGTCAAGCAGAAAGCTTGCGCAATTTATTCTTCTTACTGGCAATTGATGTTCCCATTCAGCCTAATCAGTAACCCTCGTTATGTCCACTTCCCCCAGCTTGCGTGTGGTCCTACTGTTCGTGGTGCAGGTGCTGAGAGATGAAGAACCTGAAATATTCAAAATCCACTGGCCGAAGCTGAAGGAGGCACTGTGTCACTCCGGTGTTGACTTCTTCGGCGCTGCGATGAACTGCGTCGCACGCTGCCCTGGCGTTCCGGAGATGGCCGAGCTCGTAGACCTGACACCGCCCGTTTACAGGTGGCGGGTTTGGAAAGGTGGGTGCCGCTCGTTCCTGTTGGACGTGGTGGGTGCCGCTCACACCTGTTGGACGTGATGGGTACCGCTCACTCCTGTTGGACGTGGTGAGTGCCGTTCACTCCTGTTGGACTAATACGGCAATAAACGAATTTACAACGGTTAAAATAATTCATTACACGCAAATAAGGTAGAAAATACACACGTGCTTTTCCCTACATCATGGCCTTGAGCTCACTTGAAGTTTCTCGTCATCACAGATCTCAAAATTATTCTATTTCACCACATGTTCACCGCCGCAGGCAGCGATGTAGCGGCGGTGGCATCAATTTTGCTCCATGCGCAAGCGCGGCCACAGCGTCTGCAAGTGTGGATGGAGGCCAGCATTCTGAGGAAGGAAGCGGGGTCGTGGACGAAGCTATTGGCAGCGACGTCTGGTGTGGAGGAATTGGAACTTTGTCTCCGACCTCATAACTCCGATCAGCCATACGATGCCTACCAGTCCGACGACGACCTCATCGAGCCGCTCCTCAACAGCGGGTAAGAATTTTGCAGCTGCAAGTAAGCGACATCGATGCAAGCGGCCCCTGAACTCGGAGTTGTTTCGACACAAACACCGCGGCTTAGTGTTTCTCATTGCAAGCGTCGGAAGTCGCATCATATGTCACCTGTAGTAACGCCTGTAAACTACACAGACGTCTGTTGCTTTGCGGGATCTGTAACTGCTCTATCATAACAATACTCATCCAACAGAGTTGGCATTAACTGTTTCAAGATGCCCGATCCCATCAAGGTTGCCCAGTGGTTACAGTTCAGAGTACCAAGATTGGCGCAGAGAGGCGCGGGTTCGATCCCAGCTCTGTGCGCCAGTTTCTGGTCAGAATCGGAAAGGAGGCCGGGCGGTTAAGCAAAGAAAATTTGAAGCAGTGAGTTGCGAGATCACGCCCGCAACAAGCTGTAAATGTTCTGCAATGTTAAGAATTGGCGACAGGCCGAAGGCCTAATAAACGATGAAACCACTATATTATATTATTATATATGTCTCATGTAACCCTCACCTGCCTGCTCACACTATATCTATATATCTCCCATAACTGAGTACATTATATTCACTTCGTCTCACCATTACCAAACTTGTGGGCAGGGTGAGACTGGTTAAGTTCGATGGCTGCGTAGGCACCGCCGCTGGTGTGGCAGCCCTCGCCAAAGTGGGTCGTGACGCTTTTTTCAACATCCACTTGGCGACGCCCGTAGCCCTTAGCGCCTTGAAGCCAAGAAGTCACGACTTCTTCAGTGAGCTTTGTCCAGTATTCCTGGGCTGATATTTTTTAAATCTTTGGGCGTCAAGCGCCTAACGCATGTTGCCATGTCTGCTGTCCACACCACACACATATATACATGTTGCCATGTCTGCTGTACCACACCACACACCAGCACACATTTTGCTGCCGTGTGCGCAGATCTCGTCGCATTGTCTTCGATAATATAGGAATATATTTGAGTGATGTCGCCTCACTCAAATTCCCACACCTAGAGGAACCAATTTAACACGCTCATAATCATCACCTTCATAATCACCACGCGCATAATCACCGCCTTCATGATTAATGTGTCTAAAGCAATCAAAAGAATACAAGATAATCATGTAAACTGTTATCTGAGGTCATCCATTTCATCTGTTATTTAAGGTCCTCTCTGTTTTCTGAGGTCATCACTGTTATCTGTTATGTGAGGTCATCCCTGTTATATGTTATATAAGGTCCTCCTTTCATCTGGGGTCATCCCTGTTATCTGTTATTCGATTTCCATGTATTAATCAGTTATTTCACTCACCATTAAGCTGTGTGGACGCGCCCCCTTTCGCCCCTCTCTCCTATCGACCCCAAGTGGTTGCTGCCCGCCTCTGCCCTGACATCGCTCTTCGTGGATGGTGCGGATGAGGGGGCCTGGGAGGCTGCGGCCCACACCATCTCCGCGTTCGCCTTCATTAGGCGAAAGCATACGATAACCTGGTTTGTGGGCTAACGAAGTTTTGTGATTTGGGCAACTTAAGCTGTATTCACCACAAGGCCATCATGTTATCGTATAAAAATCGTGAAAATGGGAGAAGGTTCCTTGATAAATCAAGACTCTCTAAGACAAATACTGTAAACGACGATCTGAATCTTTTAGTAAAATTTCTTTAACCTGAAAAGCATAACAAGCAACTTCATCAGGATCTAAAGAGAGAATCGGAAGGACGTCATAAATCTAGAAAGAAAAATAATATATTATAAAAAAAATCAAATTTTTTGAAGTTTATGTGTCTCGAGGTATAACACTGAAGTTTGTGTGTCTCGAGATATAACGCTAAAATTTGTGTATCTCGAGGTATAACGCTAAAATTTGTGTGTCTCGAAATATAACACTGAAGTTTGTGTGTCTCGAGGTATAACACTGAAGTTTGTGTGTCTCGAGGTATAACACTGAAGTTTGTGTGTCTCGAGGTATAACGCTGAAGTTTGAGTGTCTCGAGGTATAACACTGAAGTTTGTGTGTCTCGAGGTATAACGCTGAAGTTTGAGTGTCTCGAGGTATAACACTGAAGTTTGAGTGTCTCGAGGTATAACGCTCAAGTTTGTGTGTCTCGAGGTATAACAGTAAAGTTTATGTGTCTCGAGGTATAACGCTGAAGTTTGAGTGTCTCGAGGTATAACAGTGAAGTTTGTGTGTCTCGAGGTATAACACTGAAGTTTGTGTGTCTCGAGGTATAACGCTGAAGTTTGAGTGTCTCGACGTATAACGCTCAAGTTTGTGTGTCTCGAGGTATAACAGTGAAGTTTGTGTGTCTCGAGGTATAACGCTGAAGTTTGAGTGTCTCGAGGTATAACAGTGAAGTTTGTGTGTCTCGTGATGACACTAAAGTTTGAGTTCGCAGGTTCCGGACGCTGGTACTGAAGAACAGCAGACTGTGTAAAGCGGACCTCAGCCTCCTGGTGAAGGAACTACACCATCGCGGCATTAGGACGAACCACGCAAAGGAGGAGGGCACGTTCGCAGCGATTGACAAGTAAGTGGACGGAGGCCAGTGACCGTGCCTCTAGAGCACGAATGTAAATAGCGACCAGTGATTTTCCGTAAATCAGTAGATGAAATGTAGATCATAGTGACTGTCGCGTTTTGAATGGTAATGTCGATAGTGAAATTTATCTTACGCTAAATTTGAACTTCTCAATCCAGTCCCTCTTTTGTCATGCATCATCCGCAGCTGAATTAAAATTCTAAGTCCATGCTATACCCCTCACAGTTTTGTAGAAACGCACAGAAATAGCTCCTGTATATTGGGTCCGCTTTACAAAAGCACCAACAAAAGAACAAGTAAATACATGGACACGCAAAACACACAAATACAAAGAAACGAAACACAAATGGGAACACACAAAAAACTCACGAATACACAAAGTTTTCATCAAATGTACAATGGATATTGGATAATGTCTTCCGATAAATGTTCGCGAGTCTAATCAATTCACGTGGGCATCAAACTAGCAGTTAGGTTGATGACTTCAGAGTACCATGAGTGGAGTAGAGAGGCGTGGGTTCGATCCCAGCTCTGGGCGCCAGTTTCTGGTCAGAATCGGCAAGAAGGCCGGGCGGGCACAGCAGAATAGTAGCAGTGAGTTGCGAGTTCGAGACTGCAACAAGCTGTGAATGTTCTGCGATATTAAGAATTGGCGACAGGCCTACGGCCTACTGACAGCTGAAACCGCTATTTTTATTATTATTATAACATAGTTGTGCTGCTGGTAATAACCCGTCTGCGATAGCAATAACGTCGTTAGGCTTGCAATAACATTGTTGGGCTAGTAATAACCCGTCTGGTATAGCAATAACGTCGTTGGGCTTGCAATAACGCTGTTGGGCTGGTAATAACACGTCTGGGATGGCAATAACGTCGTTGGGCTTGCAATAACGCTGTTGGGCTGGTAATAACACATCTGGGATGGCAATAACGTCTTTGGGCTTGCAATAACGCTGTTGAGCTTGTAATAACACGTCTGGGATGGCAATAACGTCGTTGGGCTTGCAATAACATTGTTGGGCTGGTAATAACACGTCTGGAATGGCAATAACGTCTTTGGGCTTGCAATAACGCTGTTGAGCTGGTAATAACACATCTGGGATGGCAATAACGTCTTTGGGCTTGCAATAACGCTGTTGGGCTGGTAATAACACGTCTGGGATGGCAATTACGTCGTTGGGCTTGCAATAACGCTGTTGGGCTGGTAATAACACGTCTGGGATAGCAATAATGTCGTTGGGCCTGCAATAACGCTGTTGGGCTGGTAATAACACGTCTGGGATAGCAATAATGTCGTTGGGCTTGCAATAACGCTGTTGGGCTGGTAATATTACAGCTGACTGGTCATAACGCTGAATCATCTCCACAGGGACTGTGTTCACCTGATTATCACTGACAGTCTACCACGTGCGGGACCAGCGGGGCCGAGTGAGGTCAGAATAGTGAAACCTTCGAGTTGGTGGTAGTGGTGGTAGACGCCTCGTCTGATGCCTCGTCCGACGCCTCGTCTGATGCTTCGTCCGATGCTTCGTCTGATGCCTCGTCCGACGCCTATTCTGATGCTTCGTCTGATGCCTCGTCCGACGCCTCGTCTGATGCTTCGTCAGACACCTCGTCTGATGCCTCGTCCGATGCCTCGTCCGACGCCTCGTCCCATGCATGCTTCGTCTGATGCCTCGTCGAAAAAACTGTCATGAACTTTTCATGCAGTCAGGCTACAGGATGCCAGACTGCAAATGTTAATATGTTGATTAAATTCAATTACTTATATGCCAATCATAGATCGGTGTTCTGGAGTTCCTTACCGAACAGAAAACGAACGACTCTGTAACTTTTTTTCTTGATGTGATCCCTGCAAAGTAAGGTACATAATTTGTCCATGGTAATCATTCAATGTAAGCAAAGACCGAATATCATCCGGCGCGAATACCTAACCAGTACAACGGACATATGCGATGTAGGTACACTCCCACCCAGTGAAAATTTACAGGCGCGTCAGCTTCTGATTCTGAGTACCAGAAGCTGGGGCGACTCTAAATTTTGTTAGGGCAGGACCAGCAGTCGGAACGCGGTTCTTGGCTAAACGTTGGAGTAGAACTTTAAACTAATCTAACTGTAATGGCATGAATTATTAACATTTTATTATGGATAAGGATATTTATATCTAATTATAAACATTGTTCGATAGTAATGATAATTTCTTATCGATTCACTTGACGACTTTTATCAACATTCTGTAATGTGATGACGAGGAAAATGCGGAAAAAAGCGTGGATTTCAGAATTTATTAAAAAATGCCAAATTCAACTAGGGGAATTCAGGCATTTTAGTTCATTAATTTTTAACATTTTCTTGTTTTAACACATAAGATATTGAAAGAAATATAACTCTGAATAATTGTTCATTAATTCATAACAATGCATTTGAGATAAAAATTACTAAAATACGTGTGTTTGCCTAAAAATATTTTTCAGAAGTAGCTAATAAACATCTTTTTCTTTCTTGTCAATGGGATATGTTTGAATTACTGAGTGAGTCCCCGAAATTTATTGAATTCTTTTAACCTTAATTCATTCATAGCTCATCTATTATTTTTTTATGTGATGTGGAGCCTTTCCTCGGGCAATCGAGGTAACCACTTTTCTTCAACAATTTCTCCTTTCAAAAAATCTAAATAAAACCTTGCTGCTCAAGATTAGTAGGTTTAGCTCAGCGGAAATGCATTAATGCACATTATACAGCTTCAGCGGGCTGGAAAATTGAGACGTTCCGCCCCTTGTGGGTGATGATTATTTGATATTTCGAATATTTGAGACCTTCACCCTTGCTTGCGTTGTTAATTAACTTTTGACCCCCGGTGCGAAATAGCTTGATAGCTGAGGCGCTAGCAAACTATTACATTACTTATTACTACTACTACTACTACTAATACTACATATTCAATGGAAAAGTGAAAGACTTAAAGACAAACGCATCAGTATGTCGCCATTTATGTCGCACTAACTATAGCACTTCTTCGTGAGCGACGAGGACTGAGCTGTCGGATCAGTAGGCCCCTATATAACACCCTAACAAAATTTATCTTCTGGTAATCGAAATCAGAAGCTGTCGCGTCTGTAAATTTTCACTGGGTAAAACGCAGCTCAATTCATGAAATTCATATTGCATTCGTCGAATGGGATGTGCAAGCCCGTTGATCAACCGTTTCTTTTCTGCTTCCTAGCTCAATTCAGCGTCCAAGTCATTGCTTTAAGTTAGGGTAAGCAACATTGTCGTTGACGTACACTAGGACGATGCAGGTATTGAATTGTATCTTTAATAATACGAGATCAATAGGAGCAACTTGAGTCTTTGGCGAATAGTTCCTAAATCAGATACGTGGATAATTCCAATAAAATATCGAGATAATTTAAATTTGTAGTCTAAAATTTATTAATAATTCCACATCTCATTAATTTCAATTTGTTTAAGTCACGGTGATGGCATTTCGTTCGCAATGAGTCTCACGCATTCTTGTTTCTCATGCCGTGTCGGTGAGTCCTTTTTTATACTTCTGAGTTTGAAGCTCTAGTTCGCTGATGTAAGAATAAATCGTAAAGTGCAGAGTTGCTGTGTTATTCTTACCTGGGCAGTGCCTCATTTTGCCAAGGACGACGTATTTCCATGTTATTGTTACCAGAGAAATAATTACTTCTGCCACTGAGCAACCAACGCTGGTGAAGTGATAAATGAAACGAGTGGAAATTCTCGAGTATATGCGCAAAATATATGTTAAAGAGTTTAGATTTTCGTCGCTTCTTGGTTATCGTTCAAATGTCAAATCCGTCTATTCTAGATTATTTGTTGTACCAGCTCATATTATGGATTCAGTGATAAATTAAAAATAATCTCCTGATTCAGCAATTCTATGCAGTTTATTATGTTTAATTCCTATAATTGAAAAATGACATTAAGAGGAAAGTTGCCGGTGACGGCAGATACACTTTATAGGACAGCTGCTCAAGCGAGTTCTTAGTGATATTTCTATAATTAGAATTTGAAAATTTAGAAGTGTCGGCTTTGAAGGTTAGACCATCAGGCCTGTTGCCGGTTCTGAACTCCACGGAATTGTCACAGCTTCCTCCAAGTCGCGAACAAGCAACTCACTTCCAATCTTGGTGTTCTAACAACCCGCGGGTCACCTCGCCGGTTGGAATCTTGCAAGCTAAACAATAAATGTTTTTTCTGACTCAATTGATTCAATAAAGGGGAGGAAGTTCAATTCAACAAATATATTCCTTTGAAACTCAGAAACTGCTGATAATAATATAATTTTAATTGTTGCGTGACTATTCCAGAAAGATTTATTCCGTAGAACCTGGTATCAATTTATTTTCTCAAGTCCTAATTTATTTGAATAAATATAATTTATTTATATTCCCTCTTATACCCAGCAAATTACAGAGATTGGAGATCAAGTTCAATTTACACCCTTCCGATGACTGTACTTGACTCATTCTACGCGAAAGTTCTTCAATAACAAGAAACATTTCATGATTTAGAGTTCCCTTTCTAAACAATGCCTGCAACCTTCGACTGTACACCCGAGTGTCGTGAAGATTGCACAATTTCCTATTGTTTATTTGTGAGTGAGAACTCAGTGACAAGCGTTTCTCACGCAATAATTTAAAAAACAAACAGAAACTTGCGTTTTTCAGAGAGTCGAATAAATAAAGGTGCACAGTTAAAAAAATTAATGTAGATGTTCATTAAAAAAAGGCATTCGTCTGTTTACGTATAAGTCTATCCATATTAGGATCGAATGGCCAGGAATTACGAGGTATGACCAACGACGAGCCACAACGTACAGTTGAGCGTCGCATCGACTAACCAATCCTGCGAGTATTGCTTTCTAGTCCGACTTATTCTACTAACTTTTGTTGCCGNCCTTGCAACTGTACTTTTTGCGACGTATTCTTCACTGTATTATAAATTTTTGTGTCGTCAGCATACATCGAGCAAACGCTAGACACAGCTTCTGGCAGATCGTTTATAAACACAACGAATAGAATAGGCCCGAGAACGCTTCCTTGTGGCACGCCGCTGCGCAGTGAAGCCCAGTCTGATACGGACCCATTAATACTGACACGTTGTCGCCTACAATGTACATACTGACACGTGCCTAAAAGTGCCTCAGGCACTTTTAGCAGTTCACGCTTCATATTAGGCTACTGACCCATTAAACGAATTATTGTATGATTACAGTGAGCCATAGTCAAGTGGGCAATATCATCACCATAAGAAAGGTAAGTGAAATATTCATTGATAATGATACAGATATTTTTTAGTTTTTAAATATTATATAAATGTACCAAACTCTAGCCTATTAGCTACAAGGTCGAAATATTTAGCGTATTTCTATCTTGAAAATGCCTGATTTTAGCTTGACCGTCATTGAAAAAGTTGGCAACACTGGCAAGACGAGTTCGCAGGACTCCGGAATTAATTACATTCGATGGATGCCACATAAGAGTAGCTGTTCTACGCCTGCACTCTTAGGTCGACTCTTATCAAACCTTCGGTAATCGGATAAATATACCCTTGTAGATGCAATATATATATGTAAGAACCAGGTAATTAGGTTATATCGTCACTATACAGTGTTAATCTCTACTTTCCGTTACAGCTGACACGAGCGTTGCCACCACTTGCTTCGGGATAGGACTTACTTCCCTACATCGTTGGTGAGAAATTCCCAGTCCCACACTTGCGTTGCCGACTGTACTACTAACTCAACGACTACGCAGGAGCTCAGCCTCAACCGGCTGCCGCTTGCCGGCTTTAGCTCCAGGCGGGCGCGGCCAGCGGATTTGGTATATTTGCCTAAATCGGTTTTTTTCTGGCTAACTGCAAATTTACTGCATTAAATTCCACCTCGGAAGTTTGAACTTCCTCCAGCGTAGGCGTGGATTATAAAGATTACCTTCAGAGCGGCGCGACTAGAGCTTTCCCGCCATTTTTACACCCGCTTGATGAAATAACCCCAATCTAATTGTTAACATATACAAGCACGAGAGTGATGATCCTTGATTGATTACTGATCAGTGATGATATGGCCTTGGACGAGTGAGGTTGTCGAACCGATATCTGCGACGCAAGCTCCACCATTTTTATTTGCTGGTTTTGAATTCAAGTGTGCCACTTGAATTCTGGGGTGCCATTCAATATTTCACTGATCTTGAAAATCATCATCCATTCATGGAACTGGCTGCCTAATGTATCACTTGTTTACTTTGACCTGTCTCCAATGCATTCGTGGAGCGAGTGTTTTCACAAGTCACCTATGTGAAAAACAAGCAACGAAATAAAATTTCAACTAAGGTACTGAAGTCCGTTATTCGGACCAAGAGCTATCTGCTCAGCCGCAACAAGTGATCAAACCCGAAATGTTAGATAAATGCAATATGCAAGCATGTACGAAAATATGCANGCTCGGGCGTGGTGACGTGACCATTTCTTCTGGCAAATCCTTTTTGGGAGCCTGGTTTCTTAATTTGTCTTCAGTAAACCTGGAGTTCCAGTTTTTATTGAAAGTGACTCGTTGCAACGCTTGGCTTCATTTTCGTCACCATAGCAACGCTTGGCTCTATTCCCGTCATGGATACAGTCCGCATTGCAGTCGATGGCGTCAGAGTAACAGTAGGTTTTATCGTCACCACGTCAGGCCAGCTAGGGCACTGCGATTGAGGCGAGAGGGATAATGAAGGCTTCCGGTGTAGATAGGTCCGGTTTTATAAAACCGGTGTAGATGCCTCGTTTGGTGGAATCTTACACTGGTCAGGTCATGGCTTAAAGCGCTTAGCTGAATGCAACCGAGAAATTCACCAGTTGCCCGTGCAGAAGTTGACTTTTGAATAAAAATGCCAGGCCGAGACCCGTCATCACCACAAGATGTGCTCGATGTAATAGTGTTGAAACATTCAACCTGAACAATGCCAGCCAGCAGCACGAGAAAGAAATTATTGCACCAATCGGGCAGTTATAAACAATGTGCTAACGTGCTATAACTTTCATCATAGGTTATATATGATGCGTGTTATTTATTTCCTCAAGCTAAAATATGGGTTAAAAAAACGTATTCCGTCCGACGTTGTATAATTTAATAAGTTTTTCGCATCTATTGTTAGACTGCAAATGTTGCGCAGTTGCTGCCGGGACGCAAGTGGGTTGTGGCTGTGCCGTATACGTAGGTTATGGGTTACTTACAACGTCTCGGACGAATTTACGGCCGGTTTCTTACATCTGCCCAGCGCGTGGGTGCAGTAAGCCGATGTGAACGATATCTAGTCAGTATGTAGTAAATTTCATCCGGCATTCTCTATTGAACATTCAATAAAAAGCTCACTTGCCAATTAAGTTTTATCAAATCTATGTTTATGTTGTGGTCGCAGGAACTGGTGGAGTTTTGTGGAGGGCAGGTTTGAGGAGCGGAGGTCTCTCCACCGGCAGCGGCGGACCAGCGCCATCTGCGGTTAATCATCTGCGGCGACAGAGGAGCGAATCGCGCTGAAGGTCAGACGCACGTCAATGGAATTTTATTTTTCTGCACATTTTTGTAACTTCGAGATACTGCCACTTTGTCCACAAGATTTAATTCGATATTTAGGCATATTTTAGTACCTGAATCCTCTTGAGTCTTTGTAATTCTTGATTTCAGCTGTGTGGCGTAGTACGAGAGTAGCGGTGGTACATTTTGTGTGGCTTTTTGCCACAATTGCAGCCCAAAACATCCAGTGGGTGGAGAGGTGCCTGGATAAGGGGCGCCTGCTACCCAAGGTGACAGCATCTGTTCATTTTTTCATCTCCAGGAACTAAATTTCAATTATAGAGAAAAATTTCTTGTAGTGACCGCATTTAATAAATTTTCAAGTGCGATTTAAACCTGCAATATGCAAAATTTTCAATGTGTATTCAAATCTTGCTTACAATAGCAATAAGTTTTTCAATTCATGCCATTTTCTTTGTGTGTGACAGCTTCGCATCGCAGGCTAGAAGCGAGAAGATGCTGCTGAATAAGGTGGCTGCTGTCAGCAAGGCGGCTGAAAAGTTCAAGGGACTGGTGAGTTTTTTTTTTAAGCTGGAGTTTTCCTATTTTTTTATTAATTCACATTGTTGAATTATTGAAAAATATGAATGAAAAATACCCATTGAATTTTTTCATGTCTAAAAAAGTTTATCTTTTATACCTCTCACAGAAGCAGCAGCTCGATCAGCTTCAACAAATGCAAACACTGTGAGAGTTTTGTAAAGTTTATAGACCACAAATAGCAAAATTTGTTGTATAATGTAATAATAACATAGAATTACTACGTGCCCGAAATGTCAAATATATTGAGGGCACCTAACTCCTCAATATACATAAATATATATATATATATATAGGGTGCCGCAAAACATGTTTGTAATTAATTTGCAGAGAGGCTGAGAATTGTGCAGCCACGGCCGAGCTGCGCGCCGAGGTGGATCGCCTGCGCTCTGACCTTGCTGGCAGAGATCAGCAAATCTCGCACGTGTGTTAACAAAGATACCTCGCTGAAGCAGAGCTCCACCAGAATCAACAACGGTAAGAATTTTGCAAAATTTATAGACCTGAAATTGTAAAAATTTTTGTTGAATGATATATAAAAAAATATTATTAGCTGGTTCGTCAGACGATGCCGGCAATCCCGACAATTTCAGAATCCAGCACACCGAATTCGAGAAGATGGTAGTCAGCTTATGTAAAATAAATAACGCTAACCTGCTAGTTGAACATCAAAATCCCATTAATACTGCCTCTTCTTACTCTCCAGCAGCATCACAAATTACGCGCCCGGCCTGTCCCATATATTCAGGGGCACCAAACACACAAACTTGGAATATTTATATATTAATTACGTTGTTCGGTTTGTAATTAATTTCCAGAGAGGCTGAGAATGGAGCTGCCCTGGCCACGCTGCGTGCGGAGGCTGATCTTGCTGGCAGGGATCAGCAAATCTCGCACTTCTAAGCGAGATTCTCTCTTTAAGGTTACTCTCTTTACAAATCGTTATTGCTCTAATACCATCTATGCTGAAAAAATTCTCTACCATTGAATCGTTCACCATTCCCGCAGAGAGGCGAGAGGGCTCTGCAGAGAGGCTTTACCAAATTACCATTCCGCGCATCGTCATAAACGAGGACGATGATGAAGAGGCCCGAGACGATGAGGCAATACCCGAAATGGTGCGAGTCACGTGCTTGCATATTTAACTCCCATTTGGTAATAAAATATTTCAAACTTAAAATTTATCGTATCATTTTAAAAAAATTGCCTGTACTTTTCCGTCAGAAAATGGTACGTAAATTAGAGATTTGCCCAATCAATGATAACATCTACAAAAACTATGTTGACGTGAGGAAAACTTTGACTCTTTGGTCTCCAGACAAAGATAACGCTCCCACTTCTTTTGAAAAGCCCAGCGTAATTTGAAGGAAGTGAATTTCCCGCTACCGTTTGCAAAACAAGCGCGTCAAAGACAGTCTTGCTCAATGCATGCGCAACTGTTAGAGATGCTTGTAAATTTTGCTCATCCAAAGAGCATTCAATGTTCAGGTGCCCTAATCATACTTCACATGCCGCTTGAGTGCGCAGGAGCGAGGAGTTGCGAATGTATTCTTATGTTCCAGCTCTAAGCAGTAAGCACAGAAAGGTCGATTGCCGTGCTAAATTAGATTAGCCGTGTAGTATCCGTTCTTCAGACAAGCACATAAAAAAGGTCCTATTGAAAGGTGGAGCTTATCGAAGCTCCAGCCCTACGCCGAGTATATTCATCAGAGGATGATGAACATTCACTGAGCGGCCTTACATGTTGAATGGCTTGTTACACATTACATATATGTAGCATTCCTCTCGTCCTGAAGTTCCTGCCATTATTCAGAGGAAAAGGTCTACTCACATCATCAGTGGTAGCATTATTATTGAATTCTTGCATTGTAGACCTTCAATAGAATCCTGTCTGGTCCCTCTGATGCCCATGCTATTCTGTAGGCGCGGGGTTCTGTTCATAGAATATTACTCCGAACTAACGAAAAACTGCGGCGCCGACGGCGTGTCCAGTGTTGGTTCAAGTCGTCCATGATGACAGAAGTTTGCAGGGACTTTATGTTGTATGGAGGTCCTGCTGTTACAGCGCTCCTACTGCACGACTTCACTCAGTACGAGGGGGTGGAGGTGAATTGCAGCCCTGATTACACAACTTTGTCCACTGATTTGAGTGTTCCATCGCTACCCTCAGCGACGTCGGATGGTGGTGACGCAATCTGCATTTTATCCGCCGCCAGATAAAATGCAGTTTGCGAATTTCTCTAAATCTTCGGCGCACGCGCAGCCATGTTAACAAGGATCACGAGTTTCTGAATTATTCTGTTAAGTTCTGTCGTTTTTTTCCGGAATAATTATTCCAGTAAATTGCAGGAAACCTTTTAATCCTTGATCTCTCGGTCAATTTCTTGTATTTAATGAGGAACTCTTAAAACGATCAGTTGGCCAACTGACCCAGATTAACTTTGCGCCGAGTGTAGTGACTATTCGGCCGAAGCCTAGGCGGTCCCCGAATTTTGTTAGGGGACTAGTCAGAACCTCCTGGCCGACTTTATAGTCTTCTGAGAGTAGGGCAAGTGTTGGCAGAAACAGACCAGGCGCTTGTAGCTGTCTGATTCGGGGACCGGACCGAGACCAATAAGCGGACATATAGAGAAGCTGATTTACGTTCATCGCTTGTCTTTCCCCCCGGTAAGTAGGGGAAAGCGATAAGAGCCCCGGTAACTATCGCCCTGTCAGTCTGACAAGTGTTGATTGTAAGCTAATGGAATCTGTTATGAGGGATAGGATTATAGATCACTTGACTGTTCACCATCTCCTATCAGATTGTCAGCATGACTTTATTGCCGGTAGATCCTGCACCACTAACTTATTGTCTACGTTGAACGATTGGACTCGCCTGCTGGACGAAAGGGAGACAGTGGATGCAGTGCACCTCGATTTTGCCAAAGCATTTGACGGTGTTCAGCATGAGCGGTTGTTACGTAAAGTAGAGTCTTTAGGAATTGAGGTAAACGTACTCCAATGGATCAGAGATTTTCTAGTAGGTAGACGACAACGTGTCAGTATTAACGGAACCGTGTCAGACTGGGCATCAGTGCGCAGTGGCGTGCCACAAGGAAGCGTCCTGGGGCCTATTTTGTTCGTTGCTTTTATAAATGATCTGCCAGAAGTAGTATCCAGCGTGTGCTCCATGTATGCCGACGACACAAAAGTTTATAATACAGTGAAGAATGCGTCAAATAAAGCGCAATTGCAAGATGATCTTGACAGCTTAGTTAACTGGGCTGATACGTGGCAGCTGCGGTTTAATGCTGACAAGTGTAAAGTACTTCACCTCGGGAAGAACAATGAACAGCAAGATTACAGTATGAGAAGACATGGTTGCAACGAGAGAGTAATGATTGAAAAGTCTAGTGTGGAAAAAGATCTCGGAGTTTATGTCGACAAGGAGCTGAAATTTTCTAAGCATGTTGAAACGCAAGCTAACACATCCAACAAACTTCTTGGACTAATCAGACGCTCATACGAGTTCCTAGATGCAGAAACGATGAAGCAGTTGTTTGTTGCCGTCGTACGCCCGAGTCTAGAGTTTGGAAACGTTGTGTGGTCACCGAGATTCGAAAAGGACAGAAATTTAATAGAGAATGTTCAAAGACGTGCAACAAGGATAATTCCAGGCTTGAAGGGCAAGTCCTATGAAGAAAGATTGAAGATTATGAAGCTTCCAAGCCTCAGTTATCGACGTCTGCGTGGGGACCTCATTGAAGTATACAAGTATACTCATGGTCTATACAAGGTCCCTGAAGGGTTACTAGAATTTGAAACAAGAACCAACACCAGGGGCCACGGCTATAAGCTAAAAAAATTGCGCTGCAACTTCTCCACGCGACAAAATTTCTTCTCGCTTCGAATCACCGACATGTGGAACAGCCTTCCCGATGACATCGTTGGCGCTCCAAGTATGAACGCGTTCAAGAACAGACTAGATAAAGCTATGGAAAAATATATGTTCAGATTTGAAATGCCTAGCTCCTTATCGAACCCGGTGGAAATAAAGTAGCTACTTCAAACTATCGCCAGTCATGAAAAGATCCGGGCAAATAACACGATATTAGATCTTCTGTGAACATGGCACGAAAAGGAAAAGAATCGGCGACAGGCCACATCAGGCCTACACTTCAGCGCCGACATCACTATGTTATGTTAATGACTCCTTCCAAATAACCTAATGCAGAATACTCATCAGTAGAGTCGCTTCACTCTAACGCTGTGATGAAGTGACTAAAAATTTCACTTCTGCAGTAATGGTGTCGCTGTCATTGCTATTGAATAATTACTAATAAAGATAGTTTAATTCTAAAAAAATACAAGTCTTCACTCGTCAGTTCACATGTCAATCCAAGACAGTACTCGACCGGCGTCTTGCTCTACAAGGTGAAGTATACGAGTGAGGCTGTATTTTAATCCTGAAGACTACGAATTTTATTTGTTTTACGAGATCATTAACAACCGAAGACCAGTGCTACACATATTCACCGTGACCAGGAATCCTACCGACGAACGACGTGCATAAGCATGTATATTTAGCAAATGTCCATTGAGCTACGATTATAAAGCTCGCAGCACAAGAAACCTGGCACAGGTGAGCATGATTGGTATAGATGACTAAGCAGTTGCGCCATCGTCCAAACATTAGCAAGAGAAACTCCTACTAGCAACGGCAACCTAGAACCTACTACAGTTGAGATTTAGTCACACTGCCGTCCGCTGGAACCACCAGCTCTGCCGTCCACCAGCTTTGTGCATTCTGTCAGTATTTAAAATACGGGTTATCCATGTATGCCAATTAAATCACAGCCTGCAAAAGTTGCGGCTTCGGTACAGTCTTCGCGGCAGTGCACGCGGTATTTAACAATCTTAAATACTGCCGCAATCATTTTAATGAATAGACCTAGGCCGAACTGTATCTTCCGGCTGTAGGAACAGTATTTGGTAAATTATAGACTGATTGTGGTCAGCAATATCCCTTGGATTATCTCACGATACTTTATAACTTAATTTAACTAGACGAAATTCTGCGCTCTATTACATCGACCATTAAACTTCTTTTCCACGTTTAAGTACACTTTTGGGTATAGAATGGAGTAATTTGGATATCAACAGGGATGAGAATGAAAGTTGTTGACGAGCGATATGTTGAGCTAAAAAAACTAAAACACAGAGCGATAATGCTACCTTAGTTTAGGCATTTTCTAGCGGACTAATCTCCGAGTTTTAATTCTGTTTGATATGTGCTGAATTTGATGAATTTTGGAGTTAAATATTAATCACTTTAAGAATCGTGAATTAGTGGGAAGTTTATGGAGTGTGGTCCTTGCATGACTTGTACAACAGTCGATCTGAGCATTTGGGCTCGCTCGAGAAGTAACGCAGCGACGCCCTTGGTGAAACAATCGGTAATTGCTTTGGCCTTGAATTCATTTTCAGCTTAAGGTAGGTGTCACGTGCAATTAGTTCCTGAAATTTTTTTTCATACTTATTAGCCAATTAGTTTCCCAAGCCTATTTCATTGACGATAGTTCCAGGGCCCGGGACCTCACTATAAAAAAATAATTGAAAGTTCGTGGCTCCGTCAGCTAATCCTGCAAAGTAATTTTATTCGTTGTCTGGGTGTGGGCTAACTGTTAGCGCGCTTCCGGCCATCGCCAAAGAAAGATCGTTCTCAGTCTTTCGTCAATGTGTATGCAGACTAAAAATAAACTTCCACTTGAAACTTCGTCCTCTGATGTCGAACTAGCGCTACGAGGGAGAGCAGTCAACACTCAGTTGTTTTTCTGCAAGGGGAATTTGGGCGACATTCGTTCACTTATCTAGCGCCGCTGTCGTTCACTGTCTACTTTTCTTCGACCCATTCAAGATTTTGCCCTTGAAATAATTGCAATTTCGTGTCAGTCAAACGTGAAGACCGTGCTTGATGGTACGTATCCTAACTAAGACTATGTCACGGAGGTTACAGTAGTGTCATGAAGGCCGGCGTTTCCATAGTTCTCGACTGGAAATCTCCAACTAAAGACTAGCATATAGATATTTCTGTTCGAGACAAATCAAGTTGTTGAAAGGGACGATCAAAACTCATGCCTCGCCATGCAACCTGGACACAAGAGAGTTGGTGAAGCCTT